CTCCTCTCTCTCCCTCTCCTCTCTCTCCCTCTCTGCTCCTCTCTCTCCCTCTCCTCTCTCTCCCTCTCTGTTCCTCTCTCTCCCTCTTTGTGCTGACAATCATCAAATATACAGTTGAAACCAGATATTTACACACTCTTCAGATAAAAACACTTTTTTAATTGTAACATCAAATCAAACTAAATGTTTATTTTTTAGATTGATAAATATAAAAACATGTTTGTTAACTTTAAGAGTAAAGGGAGAAACTATCTGTATTTCTTAATTGTAAATGGCACCAAATTGTATTCAAAATTGAGCCACACTTATGGAGCTCCACAGTTCTTTTCCTGGTGTTTTGGTTGACATCTTTGGTTGATTTTCCCATTTCAAATAAACAGGCTCTGTGTTTTGCCTTATATGCATCCACAGGTGTGCCACCAATTTACTCACATGGACTCTGCTAACCTATCAGAAGCTTCTTCAGCTCAGAATGGAATCGTCTGGAGTTTTCTTATTAATTAATAATAAACTTAGTGTATATGTACTCCTAAATTTGATGAAAGTGATAAAAAATAGACAGCTCTGTCTCTCTTTATTCTGACATTTAACTAATTCAAAGGATATTTATTTATCCAAAACAAAACAAGTTTACTCTAAATTGATGTTGTACAGTAATAAAATGTTCTTGTGTTTTCCATAAAGTGTATGTAAGTATCTGGTTTAAACTGTGAATATACTGCTGTGTATTGAAGTTCCTCTTGTTTTCCATAGAAATATACTGAACAACATACGAAGCATAATATATAAAATAACATCTACCAGAGTTTTTTCTTTGAAAGAAGCTCCTTATGCCCATTCTTGTATATCAGTGCATTACTGAAACCGATTTATTTAGCCGCGGAGGGTAACGACTGAAAATATGAAATAAACACATGTGTAAGCTAAGACTCTATAAAGAAACAGCATTGTTGTTGTTCTGCTTTTCATTTCGCCATTTGTTGATTCACTCGAAGAGCAAGTAACGTAATATTGGTCAAGTGATCAGTTTGATATCAATCTTTCGTGATACACCGTCATATTTACATTATTTGTACAGTACGAATGATTTGCTTTTGGTACCTGGTCGATCTTCAGCTCTCCTCTGTCTGCTTGGCTCCGTTTCTCCAACAGGCAGCAGCTCCCCCCGGCCCCTCGCTCAGTCGCTGAGCTCGGATCATACCAATATTAGGGGGGATTCACGCACAGTCATAAATTTCCACAGTGTGCACTATGTGCTTCGAATATTGTGTGTAGTTTTTGTTTTATACAGTTGTCAGCCAGGCATCTAACTATGAAAAAATTACACTCCAAAAGACCCCGGGCTTCTGACAAAACAACCCGGGCTTAAGCCCAGTAAGTCACCCCCCCCGCTCCGCCACTGCTCCCTGCAATGCAATGAAATAAACTAACACCAAGAGCGAATGTATAATTTTAACCGCGTCCATATGTCGTGGTGCAGCCAGTGCTGCTCCTGCATTATCATGTTTTTTTTTTTTTTAAACAGGCCCACCCACTGAAACGATAAGCCTCGCAGTAAAAACGAACGCGGCGAATGGCATAATCATCATGTTTGTAACTGATAGCACAACCAACAGGCCTATTAATTAATTGTAGAATTTAGATTTTAAATCAGAATCCACGGACTGATTGTTAAAGCGTACTGATTTAATTTATCTCATATAAATTGCAATTACAAAGGCAGTTAATAAAGTAAATAAACACAAGCATATATACAAATGTATGTATGTTTAAAAAGTTATTCTTGGCCGTCATAAACATGAAGCAGTAGTTTTGAGTAAAGACAACTGGAACATATGACATCAAAGATTTATTTATTCAGAATTAATTATTACGGAAAATATTTTTGACATAAATTGAATGTATACCAATCAAGTACATTTTATTTGACCAAATTCAATTACATTTGGCGTTTGACGTGTATGTAAGAAAACTATATGGAAAACTTACATTTAATCAAATTACTTGAATTCAACATTTTGGACATAAATCTGTTTTGAGTGTAAATAAAATATTGAAATAGCAGTTACTAAGTTATATTTACATTTTTTTCTTGTAGTTTGGTGTAAAACAAAATAAAAGCTTTAACCTCCAGTTAATAAGGAGTGTGATTTGTGAGGATAAACACTTGTTTAATTAGAACAAATAAAAAATCATCTTTACTCAAAGGAGTGAGCCAAAATAAAAATGTTTGGATTAATTCCAAAGTGGAGGTTATTTATAGACCCTTACCATCCCTCAAGAGCGCATTTCCAGTGTGGGGCAAAGCTGAAACGATAAGATATTTGACTTGTACACATACCATATGTGTTTCTTAGCAGCCAGTTAATTCATTAAGGCCAGTTTTTAACGTCCGAGCATTACCAGCACGTCCAAGTTTGAGCAGTTTGAGCAGGTGATACGAGGGTTTCACTAGCTGTCAGTTTTGTACGCTTCAGTTGGATGCCCGTGGGAAATATAATTCTGATTGTTTCGTCCTATATTATAGAACACCGTGAGACTTTGGTTTCGTGTTTATCTCATGCCAGCTGTTACATGTCATTTGGAATCCTTCCAAACGCCTATAGCATTATCTTGAAGGGGGGCTGGGTGTGCCTGTGTTCCACTGCATCCATAAAACCCCTCCGTTTGCAGCGAACACGGCATTGAACTTGAAAAAAAAAAAAGTCCAGAGGAAAGATGAGTCTTTCTGCTAAGGACAAGGAGATAGTCAAGGCCTTTTGGGCTAAAGTGTCGGGAAGGGCGGATAACATTGGCGGTGACGCTGTTGCCAGGTAAATAAGAAAAAACACGAGGCGAATTTAACCCGCTTCTGCATTTTTATCTATTACTTACTGGCTTATTCACCTGTGTTTTTGCCCAGGATGCTGACAGTGTACCCTCAGACCAAGACTTACTTCTCCCACTGGAAGGACCTGAGCCCCAGCTCTGCCCCAGTGAGGAAACACGGAGGAATGGTGGCAGCTACAATAACCGATGCTGTGAACAAAATCGACGACCTGGCAGGGAGTCTTCTTACCCTCAGTGAGCTGCATGCTTTCACTCTGCGAGTGGACCCTGCAAACTTCAAGGTATTTGTTTATTAAATCATGAAAGCGGTTCAGAAAACCTGTGGGTTTGCTTTAAAGATTAATTGGACTACAAATTAAACGCTTGCTTAAACATTTTTTAGTAGTTTTTATTTAAATGTGCCTCCATAGGCTACTGGTTGAGACTGCATCCCTTCTAGTGAGGAACTGTAACGTCATCATTAATTATTCTTTGATTTAGAAGCCTATAAATCTGTCCCATCCACACATGGATAAGGCCATATGCAAATATAAATAAATCATAAGTTGAACCCCAATTCGTGACATCGAGCCACATTTATCTTTAGGATAAATGAAATGTGTGTTTCAGCTGCTGTAGCGCAAAAATCTTACACTTTTAAACAAACAGGGAAGTTGCCTGTGTTGTCAGCAAGTCAAAGCACGACACTGTCACCGAAGAAACACAGGATAGACTGAGTTATGATTCAGATAACTGATCTTTGATATCATAATCCCTGATTCTGCTAAAGAAGTGTCACGATCTTTGTACAGATTCTTGCTCAGAACATCCTGGTGGTTCTGGCCACTATGTTCCCCGTCGACTTCACCCCTGAGGTCCATATGGCTTTAGACAAGTTCCTGGCTGCCTTGGCTCGTGCCCTGTCTGTGAAATACCGATAAATTGCCTACTGGAGGCGACGAGCGGCAGGGGCTCAGATAGCAATTCACTGCCAGTCTGAATCTGAATAAATCAAATGCAATGAAACTGCCGTGTTTGTTTGGGTTTTTTTGTGTGGTGTACATTAAAAATACTTTACACCACAATACTTTATCATCCGTCATAATTTATGAGAGGTCCTTTGATGCGAAAGTCACAGCATGACTTATTTTTATTTTACACCCTCTTATTTAAAATTTGAACCCCACTATTTAACTCTTCTGTTACACCCTGATATAGTTGCAAATGCTAGAAAAAAAAAGAAAAAACAACAAAGTGAAAAATAAGCTCGTTGTTTTATTGATTTAAGCCTCCTCAAGACATGATTTAAAAAACAGATTATGTAACGGTCCTATTATGAAAAAGGGGAAATAAAACAAACAACTTGAGGTATATGCTTCATATATC